TAACCACCTCAATCACATAGACAATATATTGTTTCAATACCTAGTTCGAAACTTGTTTATTTTTTAAAGCTTAATTTCGTCTAGTATATTAATCAGTGAATAGTATAATATAAAATTAATTATTTGGTAATGTAATGTACATTGCAAAGAGAACTTTCTTCCCTATAACTGTAGTATTAAATATAACTATATTTGTAAGGACCTAGATTGCAGGATGGCGATCGGGCGTACACTGGGAGTGCCAAGCGTGGACATAAAAGTACTCCCGCTCACAATAACTTGGAGAGGAATATGGTGCCGAAGATCTTTCCAAGACATGGATATGTTGGGCATTCCCAAGAGAACGATGAACGCTATTACAATAAGAGTCCTTAAAGGGTCCCACACGAATTACAGTAATTGGTTCAGGCTGCTTCCTCGTTTATAGCGTGATACTCAATGATTATATCGATGTCATAATTTACATTTTTACGTTTTGTTTTATTTATCTTTATTTTTTTACTTTATTTGTTTAATTTTATGTTTATTTATTTTTTTATTTATTTGTTTTTTATTTTTTTATTTAGTTATGTATTATAGTATTACTTTCTTACGACTTATATTGCGGATGGATTGCTACCTCCGTAGTGTGTATTTTATGTATGTATATGAATGTATGTATATTTTTCTTTTATACTTTCATCGACGCAGCTGCTTTTTGTATGTAAATGCAATGCTCAGTATATTATAACTTAATATTAGTATGTTTTATTTTTTTTTTATATGATTCCTGGATTCCAATATCCAAGATAAAACGTTACGATGGTGAAGGTAGCACCAAATTGAATTAAAAATTGAGAAAGTTCCTGGAGTTTTGTTATTTTGAAAAATATATTAACTATGTATGAACTACCAAATAAATAAATAAAATTTTTAGTCATACTCAAATAATGTTTCCAAATAATGGAAAAAATAATCTTCAAAACGACTTGGTTTGGTATGAAAGACGATATGAACACTTTATTATAGACTGTAAAAAATATTTTAAAACTAATAAAAACCGTCTATGATTAGGAAAGGTAACCATCAAAAGATAGTTTATTTTAAAAACAGGTAAAATTAGAGATGTTAAAAGTTCTTACAGAAAATAACAAGAGTATTAAAATGTCTAAATTAAAAAGTTGGATCCGAAAGGATGCGGTTTCTAGCCCGACGGTAGGAAATCAGACATCAGTATTCCAACCTCGTTGGCTAGCGGCTCGGCATTCCTCTAAGTAGCGTTCAACGATTGCTCAGCTGTTTCACTATCGAGTCTTCAAGGAAACTAAGATTAAAAGAAATTGAAACTGAAATCGGGAGGGGAGGGGCGTTGAGGGCGCGCGCCCTTCCCCTGGAAGTTTTAACTAAATTTCCAAAATGTATATTTAAAGAAAAGAGGAAGAGCTACAGGGCTAAACTAAACCATCGAATTCCCCTCGTATCCAATCCTTACAATCCAAAATCCTTCGTAAAATCCTCGATGCTCCTTACTTTGTCACTAATAAAATTATCCATAAAGATCTTAATGTTCCTTATGTTTCAGATCTGGCCGAATCCAGATACCTATCCTTCCATAATAAACTTCAGAACAATTCTAACCCTCTCGTTTCTAACCTTGCTTCCTCTTCAATTCCTGATAACCCTCCGAGGCGTCTAAAAAGAATATGGCCCCGTGATCTCCTAATGTAGTCATATCATTAGAATGCTACCATTGAGTAGTTACTCAGCAAGTGTATTCATGTCATTATATCTATTGTGTCCAAATTTGCTAGATGTATTTATGTAATACAGTTTGGTAATGTAATACAGTTGTAAATGTCATTAAGAAATAAAAAAAAAAAAAAGGGGGAGAATATAGGGAAAATTCATCATAGACGAATTTCCTAATGTAATATATAAAAAAAAAAAGTTCTTATCGTGACAAACACTAGCTAATTCTAGCAGATGGCGTGCCCTCCCTTACTCTAACGGTTCCAAGATTTAAGTTTGGAGGGGGGGCTTGAAAAAAAAAAGAAAGATACTAACTATCTCTATTTATATGATTCTTGAAGTCCTATTAAGTGTAATTACATGAACAATGATACTATTTTAAGATTTTGTTTACAAAAAACATGTTTCTATTTTATAATTTTGGGAGGGAGGGCTTTAACCCGAAAGTTCTCCTCTCCGTAGATACGCCTGTGCTTCCTTGGATGCTGAGAAAAAAATCCGAAAAAAAGTTCCAAAAAAAACCAATTTAAAGAAAAGAGAAATATAGGAAAAATCCATCCTCTAAGACGAATTTTCTAATGTGATTTAAATTTATTTAAAATTTTCGTGACCAATACTAACGGAACCGCCTCTAGCCGGAGGGCACGCCTCTATCTCCCTTGGATGGTGGACAAAAAAGTTTTAAAAACAGCTGTTTAATGAAAAGAGAAATATAGGGAAAATTCATCCTCATAGAGGAATTTCCAAATGTAATATAAAAAATATATATTATTATGCCCCCCCTTGGATGGTGGAAAACAAATTCCGAAAAAAAGTTCCAAAAATACTTATGGATTAATTATTTTAAATATATGATTAAATAATAATTAAATATATACATGTACGGTATCTCGGACTATACTTGGACAAAAAACTCACCTGGAATATTCACACTAAATTAGAAAGACAAGAACTGACCAGACGGTACAAAAAACTGTTACATCTTTTGGAATACAGATCTCCACTCAACTTACTAAATAAGCGACTAATCTACACCACCATACCACTAGCGGATCCAGGATTTAATTTTGGGGGCTTCAGCCCGAAAGATTTTTTTTCATATGCATATAACAATAATTAATTAGAAAAAAAAAGAAAGAAATTAACTACCTATATGAAATGGTGTTTAAGTGGTTCTTGAAGTCCTATTAAATGTAATTACACGAAGAAGAATACTTTAAGAGATAGTTTTTAATATTTTTTTCTGTAAAACATGGTTATATTTGACCATTTTGGGGGGGAGGGCTTCATCCCGAAAGGCCCTCCCCCCTCGTAGATCCGCCTGTGCACCATACTAAGACCTATTTGGACATACGGAGCAGAAATTAGGGTTCCGTAAAACACACACACACACAAACAAAATTCAAACCACACAATCAAAAATACTTTGTAAAATCGTCAATGCTCCTTGGTTTATTTCAAATCACACCATACACACAGACATGAACATACCAAAAGTAAAATCCTACAAGTACACAACATTTCATTCTTCTACTCTCAATCATCCAAATCCACTCGTTTTATCTCTTATGTTCCTTCCTGTTGTTACCTGGTGAGCCTCAACGTCGACTAAAAAGGCAGCTTAAAGATCTTCTGCTGGCAAGTTAAGAAAATTTTCTAAGAGATTTTCTAATTTTATATAAAAAAATTGTTATCGTGAACAGTACCAGCAGATCCAGCCGCTTGACCATTTTTATTAATCTTACGGTTTGTCATATCACGTGACCTCACCAGGCTGTGGATCAACGAATAGAATGTAAGAACAAAAGTTGGCTTTTAAGGTGAAGTGATGTAGTTTTTGGGCAGCAGAGAGATGCGAACGGTTGTGCTTCTATGGCAATTTGTTCCTACAGATTCCGAACTACTAAACCGAGTCTCGCAGATGTAATACATGATGGAGGAAATTAATTTTAAAAAAAATTAACTATATTTATTCTTTCGATCAATCTTTTATTCGAGCAAAAGAAAATAGTTTTTTTTTCCCCCCGGGCCGAGTTTTTATTCAGTTCCAATAGATCTGGACGCATTGCAACCTCCAGCAACTATAGCTTCCTTGAAGAATCCATGCAATTCATAAAACTGGTCAAGATAATAATTTATATATTTTTCATTAGAAATTGTTTTTCTTCTCTTAAAATATCTGCTGTTGGAAACTTTCTCATGAAGGAAGGTTTTAATTATTTGGTCTCCGATATGTTTTTTCTTAGATAACACATTTCCAAGCTGCAGGACCATTTATCGTAATCTGTCTCACGTTTTGACAAAGTTGGTAAAAATTAGCGTTCATCGGCCGTGATTATCGACCATATTACTTAATCAAGTTATAAGTTTAGGTACTCATTCGACGCACAATTTAACGTTCTTTAATTTCTTAAAGAATAAGTTTTTCGCTCCTATGCACTGTTTGTAGTAATACATTAAAAAAAAAAAAAAAAGATCAGATAAATTGGCATTTTTGGCTGTAAAAAGTTTTCTCTTGGTGACCCGTGTCAGCAATTCTTTACACGTCTAAACCCATATACAGGGTGTCTCGTAAGTAGGGGGAAATATTTAAAGGATTGATAGCTGAACTCAATAAATACAAAAATGTTTAAATGAACAATGGTTCGATTTTCAGCAGGAAAATAGAAAATTAAAATTTTGTGTTTTTTAAAGAAAATCACGTTTTTTGTTGTGTATTATTTATTAGGCCCAAATTCCTTCTACTATTTGTCAGGGGTATTGACCTAATAATAATCATGCTATAGTTAATTTAAGTGGGAACTTGGCTATGTTCCATTAACAGTTGAATTGGAAGAGATAACTAAAAAACAATTTAATTTAAATAATTACTCTACATTGTCTATACGCATGACATGCCTACCACCTCTGAAACATTGACTGCTACTTACGCTGACGATACAACAATTTTGACAAAACACCATGACCCCAGACTAGCCTCATTAAATTTACAAAATCACTTACAAAATTGGATTAAATCATAACAAATCACAACATGTAACATTTACGCTTCGACGAGAAACATGCCCACCAGTTTATATCAGCAACAATCCAGTTCCTCAGACGGACACTATATGGTACCTCGGACTAATGTTTGACAGAAGGATGACCTGGGGCCGACATGTCAAAATGAAAAGAAAAACTTTTAACAAGCGACTGAAAATACTATACTCACTGTTTTCTAAATCAAAATTGAAAATTAGACAAAAACTAAATACATACACTGCTCAAAC